TCCCGGCTGAACCTCACAGCAAATACAGCCTCCTCGCATGGGTAACGCACCAAAAAAATCCCCCACATCCAAGCTCCATATACAAACAGAGCGTGGTTTCGGCAAACCAGTGCTTTGAGAACTTGCCTGTGCCTGCTTCGGGAGACCCCTCCACACTCATCCTCAGAGTTGAGGTGCTCGAGAGTGAAAACAAGTGCAGCTCCTCCCCTGCTCTGCTGCAGGTAACAACGGTGTTAGACTCCTCAGAAAAATACTGTGGGTGGCAGATTTAGCCTCCTAGGACACAAGTGTGTCCCTGCTTCCTGCACCTGGATGGCAAGCTCCCTAACGCAGAAATCTCCCAGCTCTTCCTCTCGGGAGTTTCTCAGCTCTTGTGTCACTAATTCCAAACAAACGCTCACGACTTTGACAGTGAAGCCTTTGCCTGGGATTAATTGTATGTACAGCTCCTGCTGGGCTGCAGGTTTCTTCTGCAAGCCTCCCAGCTCTGCTTCTGCCATCTGACCCCACAGCTTGCATTGCTAACCATATTACTTCAAACTTGACATTTTCAAAAAAGCTTTGATGGGGAAGCCAGGGCACTCGTGAACTTGTGCAAGGCGAAGAGACACAAACCATATCCACGCTGGAATTCACTCAGAAAGAGCAATGTTTTTCTTGCCATTTGCTCTGCTCTGCTACCAGTGCCGCAGGGTGTGTGTCGCCATGGGTTTGTGCTTGGGCACTTCTGCGCACATCCGAAATGAGTCACCTCTGCTCCCTGTTCCGAGAGATTCCTCGGACCACTGCAGACACGGGGGCATCTCAGAGCGGGCGGGTTCCATCCAGGGGGAGCAGGGGGCTAGGCTTCTGGACTACAACTTTTTACTGCTAGAGCAGTAATAAAATTTCAGTTCTTCATTACAAGCGTTGGAGAGCAGCACCACAGAGCAACCATTCCAGCACCAGCTGGGGGAAAGGTTGGAACCGAGCACCAAGAAAGCACAAAACCTTCCTTTTCCCAGATGTTTAGTATATGGCAAGTGACCTTACTACCCAAATAAACATTATCTGGAATATTGGCTTGAGCTGTTGAAATACCACAGAAACTAAACTGACAGCAGTGCCGAAGCAAACAGGCTGTGCCCGCATTTTCATGCCAGCACATACCTTGCTGCAAACAAGTGACAAGGCACCTGCTGCGTCACTGGATGGTGCCTAACATTTTTAACAGTGGAAAGTCAAAAAACCCAACATAGAACACCTCCAGATCAAGTACTCTTGAAAAAATATGAGATTTAAGCATACATTCTGGGCATCCCCAGGTAGCAGATTTTGCAGAAAAACATCATATTTGTGACCAGTCTGTCCCATCATCAGGTGCCTGCAGCCACAGAAGCCACCCTGTCATTACAGCCTGGCCCAAGTCCAGAGGTGAGCTCTGGAGAGGGACAGACAGAGAAACCCACTGCTAGCACGGGCACACGCAGTGAGTCGCTGGGATCTCCCTGTGTATCAGACAGGGTTCAAAGCTGCACCTATCAGCACTGCTCAGGTTGTTCTCTACCCATGGCCACAAGTTCCTCAATGAGATTATGACTCGTTCAGCACTGCTAATTAGTGCTTACACAAGCAAGGATTTCTCCAAGCCCTCGGGACTGCTGCCTGGAAGGGACGATGCTCCTCAGTCTGCCAGCAGTGCCCTGCAACGAGAACCTGTGCCAGGAGCAGCAGGGTACCAACTGCCCCATCCCTGCTATTTCGACGAAAAAGTTCCTCTCCTCCTTCTCCTGAGGAGCTGCCCCTGTTCAATGCTGCGGTCAGCCACTTGCCAGGTGCTGAGGAGATGAGGAGAGGGGAGAGTGAGGGCAGAGGGCTCCAGACCACAGGCAGAGGAGTCCTGGTCTCTCATGCACCTTCATAAGCAGAGGCTTTTTCAGAAAACCACCGTGGCGTGCTTTCAAGACACCTGCTGCCTCCAGCACGCTGCTGGGGGAGAGCGCCAGGGTGACAGTGATGAGACAGCAGCAGTGCGCTGCGGCAGCCCAGGGTGCGTGGCAGCTCCAGAGGAGTCAGGCTGACTTGAACTAAACACATTCTCATTCAA